AAAATAATTCAAAGGTTCTAACTTTGAATAGAAATTGTTTTAAATTAATTACATATTTCTTTGAATTTAATAAATGCGTAAACAGTCGTAGTTTGCTCGTTAAATATAATATCATCGAACGACGAGTATTTATTTTCATGTACGTTTAACGAACGCGTCAGCAAATTTCGTTCGCAATCCCTGTTCATGGACGTAACGCAAATTCGTGAACTTTAGAGTACCTCTATGATTGCTTCGATAGATCAAAAGGAAAAAGCTCCTCGATTTGGTTGTTACTGTATCAAATGTTTATTAATTATATCGATCGTCGAACGGATCAACGACTTTGATAGAAGAATGGTTCCTATCAGTGTTTCGATACCAAACCATAAAACGTCCTTCATTCCCTGTCTTATCGAGATTTTAATAAAAATGGCAAGACGTAATTTTTCTGCATTTAAAAGAAAACCCGGACGTTTTCTATTGTATGAGCCATCAGATAAAATTGTTTTTACCATTCGCTGATTGAACATCAAAACAAAATCCGTTAAAACGTTCCACGTTCGACAAATCGACGAAAGTATCTATGAGAAGTATCTTGTTGTCTTTGTTTTGTTCGATTTAACGTAGTTACGGTTGTATTTCTTGAATTCTATCGTATATATTATATATAAAAAAATTAAACTTTGTCCGCGACGCGATCGGGCTATGTATGTTGTGATCGAGAGAAACGTTCGGAAAAGACTTATTATTCTCGATTCAACCTGTTTGAGTTGACGAAAGGAACAGGTGAAGAGCGTAGATTGAAAGATTTCTGCGTTTTAACTGCTCATCATGAAGAAATCTATCCCTCAAAGAATCCAATGTTTTAAGAACGTTTAAGAATTAAGAAAAACGAAAAAAATATAACCGACTAGCGGCCGGTGTCCCTGAAAGTAGAGAGTTTCTACCGAGTATAATCGTCTCGAGCTCAAATATCCAATTACTATAACGTTTCCACAGACGCGATCTTTGTGCCAAAATACGTAGACTGTAATAGTCCACAAAGTTAAGAGAATAATAACGCGGATCGTGGTAGTAAACAAGGACGAAGTTCTATTAAAAAAGGAAGCATTCTGAGAATCTTGGTCTTGGACTAACTTCGTGGCATCGTGAAACTCTCGATTTTATAAAATTTCTTTTGCACGTACATATGATTGTCCTGTCTTTCTGGATTAAATTTTTAAAATGGAGTTGGAAGATTTGATTTTTGTAATAATTTTTAATAAAAAAAAAAACAAGGCTTAGCAGGAAAAATGTAAGTGCCAACGATAGTCATCGATACACGATGCTCAAATATGCTTCACTCAGTTACAGCTGTAAGTTTCACCAACGAGTTACTTTACGTGCAATTTCCAGATTCGCTGTTTGTAATATCAAACGAATAGAATAGTGCCAATGATAGAATCTTTTGTAAATGTGTGTGAAACTGTTTCAAAATTAAACTCGTTATAATAAAGTTAAAAAGAATCATCTTACTCATCGCGTTCTGTGCATGACGATATTCAAACGTGAGGTAAAACGAAGAGACGATACGGTTTAAATGCAGATGAAAATATAGAGAACGGGTAAAACTATCTAAAGATCTAAACGAATTGATAGTGAGCCATCTCCTAGACTGAAAACTGCCTTTACTGACTACAGATTAGATTGATTCTAAACGAAATGTTACAAAATTTTACGTCAAATAATAAGTCAAACGATATTGCCATATCCGAGCCCCTATGCGTTGTAGACGGCTTTCGATTACATAGAGACCTCGAATTATTGCGTCAAATATTACTGGAATAAGGAAAATTGCCAGAGAAATCTCAGCAGTATGCACTATAGAAACGAAATACGTAGTACAAAATGATTGTTGTCATTAAATCATTTTGTTGCTTTATGTATACCTCTTTGGCTTAATAAAGGTATTTTGGTTAGCACTGAGAGAGAACGTTACATAGTAAGAGGGAAACATGAATCGATGTAACAAGAATAAAAAAACAAGGTGTTAAGAGCCACGAAAGTTAGTCCATCGAATTTTCGACAGTTCCTCTTGCCTGTCTGTATTACGTCGTATCGAGGGTGCAATCGTTTCGATTGGACGCTTACTGTACTTCTAAACTTGTCGTCTACTATCCAAAGTAGAAAAATTATCATCCTACTCATCGCGTTCTGTGCGTGGCGATCTTCAAACATGACAAAGAGACGATCCGGTTTAATATGTATAGAAGCGGCAAAAGAGAGACCGAAATAGCACGGGCGGTCGTACGGTCGATCGTTAGAAATTGTTCTTGTCTTTTAATGAAACACACCTAAAAAGAGACAATTTTGAATCGCAGATCTCGATACGCATATTTATATATAACCTTTCCAATTTAGATATAATATTGTCATAAATGGTTGACGCGGGAAGGGAATAATGCTCACCCGCTCATCCAGTTCCTTACCTTTTACGAGGAGAGAAGAAACCAAAAAAATGTAACGAACGCGGAAAAAAGTGCTTCAAACTACTTATTAAAAAAAAAAAAGCTGTGGCGGCCAAGTATGTAATAACGTCGGAGAAGATGGACGAAATTACTTTTTAACGGGATCGATAATTTTTTTCTTGTCGTTGACAACTGCTCAACTAAAACGAGCAATTAGCCCGCGCGTAGTCATTCTGAATCTAATGCCTGAAATAGAGCTAGAAGTATTTTGTTCAGAAACAGTTTTAAAACGAGTAAGATCTTGTTTCGCGGCCACGCATAAAAAATTGAAATCAGTGCCAAATGTGATGGCAATTGTTTCGGAACAGCTGCGAAACAATTACTAAAGAAACATGCTTATAAATTATTTTCAGTACCGTTTCTAAACAAAATCTTTTTAAATCTGTATTTGGCGCAACAGTTACCGTTTCAACGTCTATTTATCGGTGCTACCAATGTGCTACCATTGTTTTTCGCATCTGTGTATGTCTCAATTTTTCAAATAAAATGTTAATTTTATTACATATCTGTCTCTCGTTTTTATATATATATATATACATATATATAAATTTCACGAGATTTTTTAATATCAATTATTGCATTTAAACAACTGATAACAAGCGAATATTTTGAAAGACTAAAAATCAATAAAAATTTACATATTTGTATGTATCCCATCATTTTTCTCTATATACCACAAGGTATATTCCAATACATCGACAAAATCAAAAAAAGTTTAATGAAAAATAAAGAGAAAATTTCTTGAAGAAATCTACGTGCCTCTAAACCTTTATAAATGCCACACTTCCATTTTCCACTGAACATGTCATGCGAATTCGATGTTCACTTAGATATTGTTTGACAGTTCATGATAGCCTCACGTAATAAAGATACAATCGAAATTATGAAATAGAAATCATGGTGGATAGGAAAAGCAAATACAATTCGGCTCGAGATAGAGCCTCATCGATTGGAGGTACGTTATAAGGTAATTTTTATTTAACAAAAAACAAAAATCCATAGTTGAATTAATAGGTGATACGTCAAGAATAAATCAGGAGAACTTCGCGACTGAATTTCTAAGATGCGCAGAGGAATTCAATGTCTATCCGTTACCAAGAATCGTTGTGAGTTTTTGTACATTCAATAGAGTAATGTGTTTTGAAATGTAGATATTCATTGACGAGACGTGATTAAAAATAGTGTAGCCATACGGACACCCAAGTTTCAAG